CAGCCGAATCAAAGACGTTTTCAGAGAAACACAGACAGAGAAGCATGCAGAAAACGGGTTGGCTGCAGGGCGATTCGTTCAGGAAAGAGTTTCTAGCATATTAATTATCGCCGTCAGCCTGAAAATTTGGCTTCAGTCTGCGTGTGGTTGCTACGGTAACTGTTCAGATCAGCGCGTCGATGGCTCCGTTGTACAGCACGTCTCATGCTTCAAAATAAAGCAGCGTCAAAATCCACAAATCAGCAGAGGGCACAAAGCCGTCTGATAAAGTCAAAGTTCAGATTTAACACATGATTTACTCTCACACTGATTTGATCTGCTACAGTTTGTTACAGAGGGATTTTACGAGCACAGTCCGTAACCATCCGAATGTGACAAAGAAACAATTTATGTCCTCGTTAAAACAAGGTCTACTATTTATCAGTTTCAAATTATGTTCTCTGAAAATATAGTGCTTGAAAATTCTCACCCTTTAAACCGTTTTTCATGTTATGACTATAAAAATCAGCTGAATTTAAAAACATATGAGCAAATTCTAGTTGTTAAATATAATTTGTTTATGTTTAGTGAACAAATGCAAAATAAAGTTCACTGAATGCTTTGTCGGACTAACAAAAAAATTAATAACTACATAGTAAAAGGATATTAATCACAGAATTTGAACCAGGTGAAACTAAACCGGGAACTTGATAGAAGAAATAACAAAAAAAAGCTTTTTTCTTATCTTAAATGCAAAATATATATGTTTTTGTTGAATTTTAGCTTTATTACTGCTCTGAGTCCTATTTTTGAGTCCAGTTAACGATTAATCGATTACTAAATTAGTTGATGATTATTTTCGATTAATCATTTCAGCCCTCAAGGGAAATTTAATTGAAATGATCTTAAGAGCAAACATGAACAACAGGAACTAGTAAACATGATCAGGAAACATCCATTGAGCTAATGTTTAAATATTAGTCTTGAAATTACTGGTTTTAAAAGTATTCACACCCCTGAACTTTTCCACATCTCGTCCCATGAAAGCAAATGTGTGAAATTTAAACTCGAAGTCTTTGTGTTTATCTTTAGTTGCATTGATTACTGCAGCAGCGTCTTCACACATCTGATTAAAGTCAGTCAGACTCCTGATAGACTTTTTAATCAGAAACGCAGATTTCAGTTTTTATTCTCCTCCAGAAAACTGCAAAACTGCTGGAACACTGAAACCAAAAGTGAAAACTCACCTATTTAGATCTTTGATTAATAATAACTGGACCATTGATTAATTCTATATTATAACTTTTATTACTTCTTTTCTTTTATGTGTTAAACACTTTGAACTTTAAATATAGCAGTAATGTACACTGACATTTCTGATTGTAACACGGACTGAAACGATTAATCACATTAATTGTTATTAATCAATTATTGAACTAATTTAGTAAATAATATATCGTTAACTGGAGTTTACAGAGTCAAAAAAGGGATTTTTTTTTAAATAACAACACACTCAGAGCAGTAATTAAGCCAAATTTGAACAAAAATACGTAAATTTTAAATCAAAGATAAAAATGTTTGCAAAAATGTTCTAGTTAGAACTTCTCAAGTGTCAATTTAAGCTTCATTGGTTCAAATTCTGTACCTATTTGGCAGCTTTTACTGTCCAATTATTAATCAGTTAATAAAAATAAATATGTAAGAGCTGAGCTGTTGACATGTTGATGTTTTTATTTAGCTGCAGATGCATGCTTTGCTCCAGCTGATCAGGCGTTCTCTAATGGCATTCTAGGAAATAAAATGTTTATTTTCTGATTTTAAAAAGGAATTAAGTTGTTTATTTGCATTTTTTTCAAATTTAATGTAAAGTAAATTTAATGTAAATTTGCAGAATGTGCCAATTTTTTTTATCCCAATTAATCAATTAATCGTTACTAAAATAATCGTTAATTGCAGCCCTACACTCAAAGAAATGAATTAACATATTGCTTTTATTTCAACAGATTCCACATGATTTTATTTTGTTAATTTAAAGCAAAAAAGATATAATAATCTGACGATATAACCTTATTTTTAACTAAGATAAAAAATTAAGTATAACGTATAAAAAAGCTAGATTGGTCAATAACTAAAGTTATTTATTATCACCATTAAAGCTGCACCAGACAGAAACAACAGCAGCAGCTCAGTAAATGTGAAAACCTGCAGTGTGAAAACCCTGGCGAAAGTCTGCCGCCTTTGGCAGAGCAATGCCGTCAGTAAACAAGCAAGTGAAGCGAATCATCTGACATTTAGGAGAAACCCGGTTCTGCTCTTACTGACGGCCATGAAGAGTGATGAAGTGTTGCCTCACCGCGATCAGAGTCCCCGTTTCATTTCCTGTTTTACTCAGAAAATGACCGCTGTGAAGCCCGGAGGGGACAGAAGAAACACTCTCCCATGACGCACAATCTAGTTTTCAGATCATCGGCTTTATGGCTGATGAGCTTTTTTCTTTAGCGAAAACAGAACATTTCACCAAGTATTTTTGGTCTCGTTTCTAGTACGCTTGACATAAGTCAAAAGTAAAAGTACTAATTACACTGGCAGATTATTTAATTTATAACATGGAAAAAATGTATTTTTATAAATGAAACAATTCATGAAATTTTTCCATGAATATTAAGGAATTGTTTACTTAAAACAAGCTCCTATATCTGTCTGAAAAGTTACCTGCACGTTAGTTTTGTCTTATTTCAAGTGTACTAAAATATTTGCACAAGAAACTAGACAAAATGTTTTGGTAAGATTTTGCACAACTAAAACATACATACAATACTATTATTATATACTAGTATACAATAATAGTATTGTATTATTGTACAATAGTATGGTATTATACAATAGTATTGTACAATACTATTGATGTTCATTTTTATCAACAGTTTATTGGTTCATAAGAAGTCCAAAGTGTTTTAGAGCCTAGAATTAGGTTAAAGTTTGTCTAAAAGGGGTAAGACTAGAAAAAGGAAGATAAATTTAATTGGATTGGATCCCTTTTGTAACATCAGAACCAAATAAGACCAAAAATACTTGGTAAGATTTTGAGTTTTTGCAGTGTATGTGTGCCTATTCTTTTGTGTTTGCGTTTTATTGGTTCATCTCAGTAAAACAGAATACCAGTATATAAATTAAATCCATACTGACTGACATTAAAACAGTTTCGAATAGAGAACTGATACGCTTTGCCATGTCGCTGTGATGTAATCGCTTACACCACCATGCGGAGGATCGCTGACTCGGCAAACAGTCACTTTTACCCTGAGCCACAAAAACTATTACCAAACTGTTTGGGCTGCATGATAAGAGGAAAACATGTTGGTGAATAAAATATGCTAATTCCTAGCTAAACAGTTATACTTTAGATTATTTGTTACTTTTATATCCACAAATCTGGAATAAACTTCCAGAAAACTACAAAACAGCTGAAATACTGAGGCTAAATAGCAACCTGGTTAGAGTTGGCTTTGATTCATAATAAATGGAATAATGGCCAACATCTATGATGTATAATGCTAGGCCTGTTGCAATGAGGAGTAAATCAATTAATCACATGATAAATAAAACAAACTCAATAATTTTTATTTTTTCCTGATTTATCATTTCTGTTTGGTGCTTTGGCCTCAACCATCTCCTTTCTTTGAAGGACAGTTTTATTTGCAGACTCAGTTAATTTTACTTGTTGTTTTGTTTATTTATTTTAGATATTTAAAGAGTTTTCCAGTTCCATTGTTAAATGTTCATTAGAAATTACACTTTACTGATCTTTGAGAATGTGTTACCATTATGTTACTTTAAAATAGTCTCCAAAGAACAATATTATCATTTATCTGGGATAATTTATCATCCAGAAACATTTGTTATTATGACAGGCCTATTATTGCTTGATGATTTTGATAATATCTCATAAAATGTAATTTTTAATGGCCTGTTTCACAGTTGGTGACTGTATGACGTTTTTATGATGTGAAGCACTTTGAGCTGCCTTTGTTGCTGAAATATACAATACAAATAAACTTGACTTAGACTCATGCTACCTTTGCTTAAGGTGGAGAACTCGGTGTTTGTGATAATAAAAACGGACGAACCCAGCAGGCCACATGGAGATGTTGAACACAGATAGGAGTTTCCACAGAAATGGCATTTAGCTGACCCAGATTGGAAGCTTCACATCGGGGAAAACAGAAAGCCTGGCATCAGATTGGCTGGCCAGGCCTGCTGATGTGATCAGATTTCCATTCAGATGCTGCAAAAAGGGCCCGAAGCTGTTTCCAACTATCGTACACTGCCTGCGAAAACACAAAGTATATTTGTTATATATATATATATATATATATATAGTTTCTAGTGTAAATATCCTATTACATTTGAAATAAGACAAAATGAACAAAAGTAACTTTTCAGCAAGTTGTAAGAGCTGGTTTCATGCAAATAATTCCTAAATGTTGATGAAAAAGTTTTAGTTCCACTGGTAGGATATTCCACTGTGCCATTACCTAGCAACACCAGCCAACATAGGAGTTTGTCTTAAAACAAACTCCTATGTCTTACTTGGAAGTTACACTGCAAAAATACAAAATTTTACTAAGTATTTTTGATCTAGTCTTTAGTGCAAATATTTTATTACACTTGAAATAAGACAAAACTAACTTACAAGTAGCTTTTCTGCAAGTTGTAAGAGTTTGTTGTATGTAAATAATTCCTAAATATTGATTAAATGAGTAGTAACTCCACTGGTAGATTATTTCACTTTTAATTTCTATTAATATTAAGGAATTATTTACATGAAACAAGCTCTTATAGCTTGCAGAAAAGTTACTTATAAGTTGGTTTTGTCTTATTTCAAGTGTACTGAGATATTTGGACAAGACACTAGAGCAAATATACTTGGCAAGGTTTTGTGTGTTTGCAATATTTTTCTTGATGTTGAAGAAATAATGTATCTTTACAACATTTTAAATTTTGTTTTCTGTTTTCAACAGAGTAAAGCTTGGAAGAAGCTGAAGACGTACATCCGCTGGCCCTTGCAAGCTTCCCAAAAGAAGAAAGTAAACTGGGTCCAGCTAGCTGGGCATAAGGGTGATTATAATTTATTAAAAACAAAAATTTTGCAGCAATAATAAGATGAAAAAAGAGCAAAGAAAACATCCATTTCATGCATTTCTAATGGAAATCCTCCCCTGTCACGCTAAGGAACATTTCCAGGATTCCACCTTTATTTTCTTTGAATTTCTGCCAAGAACAAGAGCAACATTAACCAAGCATTTCTCTTTTCTATTCTTCACAAGAAGTCAAAACAACCTGAGAGATGTTTCTCTAATGAAAAACCTTGAGCATGGAAGCAACACTTCGTTCACATTCCTCAGAATGAACTTGGTGTCTATAAGGAAGCTGAGCAACTGAAAGCAATAAAAAAGCTTTGATGAAAATGGAGTCATCTGTTATGGATGACAGAAAGAAGGCTTGTTGCTTTCCTTCATGGTCTACTTGTCTCAGCCTTGCAACATGTTTCAGGAATTCACATTCAACTCTATTCAGCGATTGCACTTTGCTCCATTCCTATGCAGGTATGTTCTTTGTCTAACATGAAGAATGAGAAACCGTCTTTCTCTCGTCTCAGGAAACTTCAAAGCTGCAGAAGAGGGCACCATCCTGAAAAAGCTGTCAGAGAACGAGAAGAAGTGTTTTGAGGATCTGCAAAACGACGCGCTGGTCCATTTTGTGCCGCGCTACCAAGGAATTGTGGAAAACGACGGAGAGTTCTTCGTGCAGATGACCGACCTGCTGGCTGGCTTCAACCATCCAAATGTGATGGACTGCAAAATGGGACTGAGGTGAGAAACTAGGCCTTTCAATCTGCAAACACTGGTTTTTCAGTTTTTAATCATTAATTATTCGTCATTTTAAGGTGTAGATGAATTACAAAAGCAGAGATAGGCCACAGCAGAAGCTGCCTGTCTCGGCTTGCCTCTTTAAGGGAACACCTGTTGTAACTGCAGGCTGTATGCTTGGCTTCCTGCCACAGCGGGTTGAGGGCCTCACTGTTAGTCTGCACAACTCTACACATTCATATACGCATGAATGCATGCATTAATTCATGCATGCATGCCTTTTTTGCATGCACAGACATGCGGATGCATGTGCAGCATCTGACCAGACAGGTGAACGCTCATGCACAAACCTGCAGCAAAGCTAGGGGCAGGCGAGCGATCAAGTACGTGCAACAGCGTTACAAATGTACTTTACCGCAGGCATGAACTATTTGTTTTACTTATCTACCTCTGTGAAAGTTGGTCTGTACATCTGAGATGTTTATACACACACATTTGCACGCTCAGGGTGTCCCTGGAGACTCCCCTTTGTCAAAAACGCTCTCAACCACAAAGTTGCAAAACCACCAACTTGCACAAACACACACTCAGGCTTTCACACAGCGAAGTGCTGCACACAGGAGTCTCCTCGTAGCTTCCCTCTTTAGCACAGAGGAAGTGGAGCTAGCAAACTGAAACTGAAATTCACATCTGTTTGCTCAGAACTGTTTGCTGTGAATATAAAGACGGCGAGTGCAAACCTGTCATCGACAGTATGACTCCAAACATTGAAGATCATTTTGTATGGTGTCGTTTTCTGACCTGCGTAAAGCAGCATCAACTGCAAAAACCTTTTGACTTTTGTGCAGCAAATGTAGAAATGAGTTCATTTAAATGTCTCTGTAGAAATTCAGGAAGCACAGCTCTGGTTGACCTTCCGAATTTATGTCGCACTCAAAGGTTTCACATCAACAGACACATTTTAAAATCAGAAGAAAGATAAGTTGAGTCATTAAAAGGTGACCCGGTCCAAATTAGGGGACATTTTGATGGGAGGAGGATGTTCAAGCATTGGTTTGACACCTTCAGCTGAAACGTGCTAAAGAGGTTTTAAACAAAACTAAATAAAGGTTTGGAATGGATTTAAATCTGAGACACTGTTGCATGACGTTAGACAGGATATTTGTCATTGAGTCCCCTCAAAAAATCTAAACAGAAGAGTAGGCCAAAATCCTTCAACTGAGGTGTAAGATTTCTGTTTATGACAATGGTAGATGCAGGTTGTCTGTGAATCCAGAAAAAGTCTTAAATTAATGTAACTAAAACTAAAACATCTTAAATTCATCAGAAGAAATGTAACATGGCCTCAAATACTTACATTTTAGCTTGTTTTCTGATATGTGTGGTTTTCTAACAAGCAACATTTTGAAGAGCTAGCCGCTAGCATTTTAAACCTTTTGAAAATACTTGTCTGTTATTGGTTCTCACTTAATTCAAGGTGGCATTAAACAAGTTTTACTTGCTGAAACCTGCAGAAACTCTGTTCCTGGGTGTTGTTGCCTGTAAGGCTAGAACAACCGGTTTAAAGGATTGTTGCCTTTTCACAACTGGGCAGAATGGTTTGCATAGATTTACCCTTGTTATCCTAAATTACCATTTGGAAAATTTGCAGGTTTTACAGGTTATTTTGGTCCATAATTAACTTATTTGATTATTTGAAGCATCTAAATGTGGAAAGACAGCTAAAGAAAACTTTCATTTTATGACTTTTTCACCCTGTGTTGAAGGACGTACCTGGAGGAGGAGCTTGTCCGGGCGAGAGAGCGGCCCAAGCTTCGGGAGGACCTGTACAAGAAGATGATGGAGGTGGACAGGGAAGGCCCAAGTCCTCAGGAGCATTTCCAGCGCGGCATCACCAAACCTTGCTACATGCAGTGGAGGGACACCATGAGCTCCACCAACACGCTGGGTTTCAGGATAGAAGGCATCAAGGTGACACGTTACTCACATCTTTACTGCAACAGACAGGAAAACGAGGCGGCTACAACAATGGCTGGGTTAATTAAACAGGATTAACAGGACGGACATGAGGGACGAGTCAAACTCAATGGAAAATCCAGATTTTCCAAAAATTAAATCTTCAAAAACCAAAAAAATGGATTTATCACACAGCCCTACTTTTACATTGCACAAACAAAAACTTACTGAGTAATTTTAATCTAGTTTCTAGTGCAATTATCTTCGGACACTTGAGATAAGATTATACTAAAAATTAACTTTTCAACAAGATATAAAAGCTTGTTTTAAGTCAATGCTTTCTTAATATTGATCAAAAATTACTTGTTACTTGGCAGGTTAGGCTTCCCATGTTAAACAATCTGCCAGTGAATCATCAATATTAAGGAATTATTTACTTAAAAAGGTTCTTTGCTGAAAAGTAAGTTAGTTTTCAAGTGCACTAGAAACTAGACCAAAAATACTTGGTATGATTTTGTTTTTGCAGTGTAACTGATGTTGTTGAAGCCTTAACGTGTAAGCAGGACGCTCAGACTGATTTAATCCGACCGCTCGGTAATATCGTCCTTCTGCTTCTCTGCCCTCTTCAGAAATACGACGGCACGTGTCGGACCGACTTCAAGAAAACCAGATCGAAGCAGGACATCATCAAACTGTTCAAGGAATTCGTCGAAGAGGACGTCAGCATCATTGTACGTGGCAGTCATTTAACTTCCTGTGAATTCAGTCATGCGAAGACACAAGCGAACCTTCTTTGCACTTCTGTGCACATCCAAATAAACACTGGAAATGCCGCAGTAGGCGTCACCTTAATGTCCGTCTTCACCCACGCAGAGCACACAAGCTGTGCAAGCGTTTACATCCGTGTTCAGAGTTTGAACAGTGATGGGAAGAATCACTTTGCTGTCTCTGTGCTCACATTTCAGACCCGCTTATGATAAATTTGTAAAGAAAACACATTGAAAGTGTTTAAATTGCAAGAAGAGAATGTAAATATTCACACTGCGAATCTGTTTGAGTTGTGGTTCAGAAACGGTTTCTGCCCCGCCTTGGTGTACAGTAGCTGTTTAAGTGATAAATTCAAGCATTGTTTCCTGCTTTTTTCTCGTTGAAATGCAGAAGTCTTACCTGGAGAGGCTGAGGGAGATCCGGGAAGCGCTGCGAATATCCGACTTCTTCAAGAAACACGAGGTGACGACCGATTTTTACTCTGAAAATCAGAGACAGTTTGATGGAAACAGGAAAAGTCCTGCAAAAAAATTAACCAAAGTCTGTTTGGACTGCCTGGTTGCTGAAATGTGCTGTACAAATAAGTTTTTAGAAAAGTTAAAAAGTGTAATTTATGATCATAAGGTGGTTGCACACAATGCAATACACCTTACAAATATTGTCATCTTTAACTTTATATTTCATTTAATTAAACTTTATTTAACCTAAAGTAACTTATATATAAGTTTTCAGCAAGATAATAGAAGTTTGTTTTAAGTCAATTAGGCCATAATATTGATTTTTAAAAAGTATAGTTTCACTGGCAGATTATTTCACTTATAACTAGAATGTTTTCCTCAATATTAAGGAATTATTTACATAAAATTTGCTGAAAAGTTATTTGTAAGTTAGTTTTGTCTTATTTCAAGTCTACTAAGATATTTAGTCGAAACGAGCCCAAAATATTTGGTAGGACTTTGTGTTTTTGCCACGCAAGACCAAAATGATCCTTTTCTGAACTGCAAAAACACAAAATATCAAGTATTTTAGTCTAGTTAACAACAAATATTACTAATATTAACTAGTACTTAATCAAAATTAAAGATTGATTGACTTAAAATAAGCTCTTATATCTTTCTGAAAAGTTCATTGTAAGTCAGTTTTGTCTTATTTGAAGTGAAGATTCAGGTTTTTTTTGCAGTGAAGCCTCATTTTAACTTCTCTGTTGTTGTTTTCCCCACCAGGTCATCGGCAGCTCTCTCCTCTTCATCCATGTCTGCGGCCGTGCCAACGTCTGGATGATTGACTTTGGGAAGACTTCAGCTCTGCCTGAAGGTCAGACTTTACGGCACGACGTTCCCTGGCAGGAAGGCAACCGAGAGGACGGATACCTGCTGGGTTTGGAAAACCTCATCCTCACGCTGGAGGCTGCTTACAACGAAGGGAGCGGAGAAGAAACCAAAAACAACAGCCTAACTACAGACAGGGACTTTTAAAGGTGGAGGGAACTTCGGTTATTTTAAATGGAAGCCACAAAACGACTCTTCGGGTGGGGTTGCATGCCTTGATTTGCTTATATTGAGCCTTTGCACGTGACGTCACGGTCTTCAGAAATCCGCCCGCTCCGCCATGATGGACGTCGAACAACCTATACGCTCCAGTAAACAGACATCTGAGGTCTAATATCGCTTTTATCTAGTTGATCACACTTTAAAATGGTCTCTGTCGGCTGTACAGACAAGCGTGAAAACCTAACTTGTCATTTTATTTGTAACTTTTAATGAGGGAGGTCACGGCGGCGATGGGAAGCCCCTAACCCTAATCATAATGACTGACTGCTCGGTGTAATCGCCAAGCTAATTGTAAGTATACTAAAATATTTACAGTCGAAACGAGCTGTTCATATAGTTTATAAGTAAGTATGATTAGAAAGATGATATACAATGTCGCATTATGGAGAAAGTACGGTAACCATGGAAACAGTGCCGCGCCGTCATGTAGCCTAGCATGTATGGGGAAAAAACTGGCTAGCATCTCGTCTTTTCTACGTTTGTAAGACTTCTTCGGTGTTAAGACAAACGCCGTTCATGACGTAGTGACATAAATCGTCAGGCAAAGTCGACATGAAATTTGATCAGCACGTCAAAGGAAGGTGCAGTCGGTTTCTAAGTTACAACTTTTATTGGGAATTGGCATTACGTTTGCTTACGCCTGGTTACATAAGCAGACACGCCAAACGCTTGGTTTGGCGTTACGTCTGACGCCAAACAGACAAATTAGTTGCTTGCCATAAAAAAGAAGACAACTTAGCCTTACTCGAACAAGTAGAAACCACTGGCAAAAACAATCTGGGAAAATAATTCCGGTCGCTCTGTTCAATACTCCCATCTCTCACTTCCGACGTCCATCATGGCGGCTCGAATCATTTAGTGACGCAGTTGCAAACGGTCCTGTGCCGATTGCGCTGCTACCGCAGCAGAACTCTCTAAGTACAGACACTGACAGAAACGGGCACAATGGACGCAGAACAGAGGGAAGCAGAAATATTATTAAAATAAGTTAATTATTCCTCCAATGCACTGACACTAATTCATCATCCTGTGACGCGAAAGCGCGGATTTCCTGCTTTCACTTTAACGGGATGACAGGGAGAAAATCCAGACGAGAATCGGAGGAAAACGTTTGCCACCACGAACCGCAAAAGCCTTACGTGTAACATGAACTACTGACAGACCTCACAGTTACTACAGCATTACAGCACAGGGAGGCACCGAGTAGCTCATGAGTTGTCTTTTCGGACTCTTTTTACATTTAATTCAATTTTGTAATAAGACTCCATCACTGGATACATCACCACATGTTGCAGCACATGGTTCATTTAACAAAATAATAATAATAATAAAAGTATATAACTGTTGTGGAAATAAAATAAATCAGTATATATTAGAAATAAAAAATTGACTTTTGGTTTGTTTTCTTGAAAATAAAACCAGCAGGTTGAATCCACTTTATATTTTATATTAGGATCAAACTTACATTAAAGATAATGTTTTACATAGTTAAATGTCTATTTAACAGTTTTTTAAAAGAAAAATATGGAGATTTTTGATGCCTATAGGTGATTTAGAGTCCATTAAAATTTGGTTTTATTAAAGCTAATACACATCACAGAGGTCCTTTCTGACCAGGACATTTCAAACTTTGCAAGAAATAAAATGCAGAACTATTGAGAAGTTTGTCTACTGCAGCATTTCTATATAATAGCTGTCATAAACTGCACAAAAACAAAGTTCAGCCCACTGAATGATGTTTATTCCTGCAGCCCTGATGGAAATAACATGGTTTTCTGTTTGTAGTCGCCTTTTATTCTCCAAAATCTACTTTTAGATTTTGTGTCGGTTGTGCAGCAGCACCAAAGCTGATATGTTCTTGTGCTTTCCAACAGAAAATGATCCAGATGGACTCTGGATTAGCTCTAAAAACTGCAGAATTAATCAAATTTACACTTTATAGAAAGGGATTTACTGGCACATTCACAGATTCTTAAAGACTTTATTTATGAGTCAGCAGCTGGAAATTAAGACACTAATATTAGCAAGCCTGAGCACAATTTATACAAAAGATCCAACAAACCTCAAAATTCAACAAATTATAACATATAAAAGAGAAACAGTTGAGGCTATAAATGATAAAACTAAGTAATTTGCCACATAAAACAAAAAAAAAATTCAAAATGTAAATGGCAGTGATTCACTACAGAGTCAACATTAACAATAAAACGACGTACAAAATGTAAAGGGTTAGTCCAGTGTACAGACATGAGTATAAAAATAAAGATTTTCACAGCTGCATTAAGCCAACAAGATACGCCTACTGGCCAAGACTAGGAAAAAAAAACATTCAAAATATTTTTATTATAAGTAAATTAATCTCTGCTCAGTTGCAGCATTCTTTGTTTTCAGGGTTTTTGTTTATAATAATTAAAAAATTACAATGAGGCATCCGGAACTGGTGTGAAAATGCATCTTAGAAAAATAGGTGAACATGAAATAAAATCTTATTTAAAACAAAATTAAGATTTTACTAAGTTAGATTTTGTTTTTAGATAGAATTTGAAACAGTTTTGAATATTTTATAATAAAAATAGTCAACAAAAACTACAGCAGTTTACAGTTAAAATATGGTACAAAAAATAAACAGAATAAAAATAAAATTACTGACGTCATGTGAACGTATGAACACCTGCCGCCGCCTGCTGGATGAACGCAGGTATCACACCCTCCACATTTCTAATGGCAGGAATTAAAACGTTCACAGCTGCAAAGTCCTAGTCAAAGTCCAGTGATTCATTTGTAAATCAGAGAAGTAAACAGTGAGCCAAGAAGGAGGAGCTCTTTTCATTAATGGTTGAATAAATTCGTTATTTTTAAATTGTTTTAGTACTTATAAAGTTGACTTGACATTCTCTCAAGGCACCAGTAAAACCGGCAGTGGCACAGTCCCACAGAATAATATTACCACTACCATGGTTGACCATTTTCAGGGTGTACTAAGCTTTTAAATATCAACTTTAACTTTTTTTCTTTTTTAAAATAATCACAGTTTCATGTCATGTCAGAAATTAAAAGCTCAGAATTAGCTGGACATCCCTGATGACAACAAGTGGATGTAAACTTCTGACTGGAGGTGAAAAAAGGTTTCAACAGGAGGAAAAGCACCGAAATATAAACCCAGGTGCAGATCTAAGTAGAGTTACTTTCATAAACCTTATTCTTTTTGATTATAACATCATCTGAAACATTAGTGGATCAAAAAATTAGAAAAAAATAATCAGGGAAAGAGTGAAAAATGTGACTGCAGTCATTAAAAGTTCACATTATGCAAGCGAAAGGAGGTGAGAGGGAAGCTTGTAATTTATATAACGTAAAAAAAGAAGAAGAAATTAAGTTTGTGTTCATGTTAATTAAAATTAAACATAAAAAATAAATTATTTTCTCCTCAGTAAGTACTTTAAGGTAGCAAAATGAAGGAATAGATAAAAGAAAGCAAAGTTTCATTTTTACTATAATCTATTAGTTAAAAAATCAAAATAAAATAAAAAATTATTTTTTTTTTTCATGATACTGCTACTTTTTTGTATTTGAATATTTTTATTTCTGTTCAGATTAAAATCAAAGTTGGGGCTAGATTGCAGCAATCTCCTTTTTGGCCACTAGATGTCAGTATTTCCTAAAACAAATCGTTACAAACTCCTTTGCTTGAGGTTAAACATATATTAATATGAACACACTTCTGTCAAAGCATTCATGGAACTACAGCAGGATAAAAAGATAACTAGGTAGCAGTGAAAATATCTCAGCATCAGTGTTTGGCTACCTCTGCACCAGAAGCCCAGGAGGGGGCGCTAAGCACACATCGGACTCTGTATGAAAGGTGACCTATTATGCTAACTTTATTTTTTTCATGTTTTTACACTTTGCTTCTAAGCACTTAAAAAAACCACAGAGCCATTTTTAAGAAAAATAAGTTGTTATTTTTTGGTATCTGGGAAGTGAGTTGTTTCAAAAACCTCCCGAATGTCGAGTCACAATCGACAGGCACTGAGCTGTTACCTAGCAACTGTATGGGTTGTATAATGGCTTCTGGAAAAGACAAGAAGTGTTTTGTCGTTGACTTACCATCCAGAAACCACTTGCTGCATTCTTGTTGGTTGTGCAGGAAGCTCCACTTCTGCTTTTCAAAGATGTATGGTTGTGTAATTGTGCATCTGTTTGCAGCCATTTTCATATCATTCTAAGAATCTAAGACTGATTTGGTGCAATAAATGTAATGAACAGGTTTTGTATAGGCCATAGACCAATCCTATTCTGTTCATGGAAGCATAATAGGTCACCTTTAAGGTACAGTGACGTGTTTGTGTGAATGTCAGCATTTCATTGGGATTTCCAGCATATCAGCAGCTGCATTCGTTTGATCTTTGCAGAGCTCATCGTCCAGCTGATGGATTTGATCAGATTCAAAGTCTCTGTTGCCACATGCTGACTTCTAGATGTGAGCGACGCTCAGGTCCTCGGACAGAGAAAAGCCAGAGTCCCGGTCGCGGCTGAGCTTCTCTGTTTTGGCGTGCCTTCTGACGTCCTCGTGTCCGTAGCTGGCATGGCGTTTCAGCAGAAGTTTGGGCATACAGGCTGAGGCGGTGCTGAATCCCAGCGCCAGACCCAGGCTGGTTCCCGCTGAGATGCTTGGCGGGCCGATGCTGCATGTGATGGCTTCTGAGGCTTTGGGCTTCACCAGCGGCAGGCTCTCCGCCTCGTAGCTCTGCTCATCATAGGCAAAGTTGACGTTCCCGCAGGGGAAGCTGTGGAGTTTAGCCAGGTCCATCCCAGCTTTGGAGCTGCCTCCTGTCAAGGCCTTGTGGGCGGACGCGGTTGGGGCAGCTTGGACCTGGCAAGCTGGGCTGAGGTAGGTGCTGCTGGTTCCATCGCAAACAGCTTTGTTGTTCTCCTCAGTCGAGTTGCAAGAGAGCGGCATGGACTGAGTGTGAGCCAGCGTCTTCTTCGCCCGGAAGCTTTCGAGGACCCAGGAGCCGTATGTTGGGTTCCAGAGGTTTTTGGTCTTGTTTTTCAGCCTCTGGCTCCCCGAAGAGGAGCTGTTTCTGGAGCAGGGCCGGTGATGAGGAAGTTCCGGATGCAGAGAGTTTGCTACGGATGACAAACCAGGAGCAGGAACAGTCTCAGCCCAGGACGGCTCCAGCATTTCACAGCAGGACGTCACTTCCTGGTGGACCGGTTGGGTTCTCTGTAGCAGAAGGCGAGGTTTGGTGGGCTGCGGTGGAGGGACTGGGGGACTGAAGCCCTTGGGGGAGAAACCGAGCTGGGAGGGTGAGTCCTTGCAAACAGGGCGGGACACCAGTAAAGGTGTGAGACTGGTGGAGTTGGGGGCAGTGGGACGCATCATCGTTCCGCCATCATCCTCTGTGTTGGGGCCATATTCAACAGGCAGAAGGGTATTTACCACATCAGGGTCCTGAGTGAAAAATTACACATGCAGATATAATTATCTCATCTAACTATCCATCCATCCATCTATCTATCTAATAATGAGTCTAGCTAGCCAGATAGCTCGCTAACTTGATAGATGAAGCAGATCTTCAAATGCATATTTATGCATGCTCTACTGCAGGGGTGCCCAAGTCCAGACCTCGAGAGCTACCTTCCTGCAACTTTCAGATGCATCCCTGCTTCAACACACCTGAACCAAATGAATGGCTCGTTATCAGGCCTCTGTAGAGCTGATCCTGGTCTGTTGGAGTAAGGATACTTCTAAAACTTGCAGGATGGTAGCTCTCAAGGACTGGACTTGGGCACCCCTGCTCTACTGGAACCAACAGTGATAGTTGGAGATAGGTTCCTGCCCACTTCATCTATGTCACTCTGGCTAGCTGGCTAGACAGACAGCTGCATAGCTAAATAGCCATCTAGCTAGCTATGTACTGAGCTAGATACAGTGATATATGTCAGCTACATCACTCTAGCTAGTCTGAGTGGCTTTGCCCTATGACCTCAGATCAGACAAATGAAAAGAAACTAACAAGCGATGTGCTTAGAAGAAGAGATGTACCTGAGTGCAGTAGTTAATTCTCTCCAGGATTGTGGCGAAATTGGGCCGGTGATCCGGACAGTGCTGCCAACACTGGGTCATCAGCCGGTAGCTAAAAAACAAAAGACACCAACTGATCAACTAAACTCATAATGTTTCATTCTTATCATTTTATGATTCTAAACTTCTGTTTCCTGATACTGAGATCTTCAGAATATGCAGTGCTGTTAAAAAGCAAATTTTTCTTCTGTTTTCACATTTAAGTATTTCAATCCATCCAAACCAAACAAAATTAGACATTTTTTATGAACTAAGGTTGAATTAAAACAAAAACCGTCAAACGTTGTTGAACTTGAGGCTTTTTCAGAGGAAAACTGAACTAAAATTGTAACCAAGACATATAATAATCATGTGGAAGGATGTTAAACTCACACAGGGCCTGGACAGCCCTTTGGTGGATCCATTCTGCCTCCGCTGGTGACAAACTCCAGAACCTCCTGGTTGGTTTTACAGGGGTAAGGCATGTAGCCCAGAGACAGGATTTCCCAGAGCAGTACTCCGAATGACCTGCAGGGGGAGACACAGATCGTCAAGCGGGAGGGTTGTTTTGATTTCAGAAACTTTTCCAGCTTCACTCCTCATTTAGACGTTAAAGAAATCAGAAGTAAGTTTGAGTAGCTTATGAAAGTCGGCACTTCTTATGCCAGAATAAAAGGTTCAATCAGGAAACAACATAATGAGAATCATTACCAATGAATCTAAGCCACTTTCTAAACTTAGAAGTGCAGCCTGCACTCATGATGGCAAATAAAAATAATTTTCAAAGCTAAAACTACTTCTTTTTACACATTTGTTAAAACCTTTACTGTGTCTGACAGCATGGTAAACAAAAAAAGCTCCTCTGCTAACTAAAAACAAACAGTCAGAGTCAGGAGGAGGGTCTTATCACTGTCAATCATGCTTGTTTACATGCCGCTCCCCGTCCCATACCCACTTCCTCTCTGCTTTCTGCTACAGCTTCTTCCTGTTAGCAGAGCCTACCATGAATGCTAATCTTAGCATGGCATGACAAACTGTTTTTCTGGACTGGTAAGTTGTTTCTCCGTTGTTAGTACATTTAGCAGTGCGTTCACAAGGTTGATTGACAGCGCTAAGACCCTCCTCCTGGCTCTGATTGGTTGTTTTTGCAAGGAAGTGGAAGAGCTTGATCTTTTCACAGATTATCCGTTTCATTTTGTCACGACAAGGTGTCACTTAAATAATCAAAAAAACATACTGTAGCTTTAAGGAAATAATACTGTTAGATCAATAATACATGTTTGCAAACTTTGGATAATAAATATAAGAGAATTATCCAAAACATCATCAGTAAGACGATGCAACATGGTTTAAAATAATTCACGTAATTAGTTTTCAGCTTTGGTAACCGTGTTTTAAATCAAACTGACATAAAGCTGTGTTGCTCAGTGGATTCCTGCCTACCAGGTGTCGGTCTTGCAGGTGAAGATTCCCTCCATGAAGGCCTCTGGTGGCATCCATTTGACTGGCAGCATGGCTCGGCCGCCTTTCCTGTAGTAACTCGCCCTGAGAAAAACAGATTTCTCTGTTTAGCATCATTTTGAAGCACAAGGTCATGAACTCCACGTTTGGCCCAATTGTGGGAAAATTAGATTTAGCTTCCAATTATTCTAACAAGGCCCCCATCAGGCTAATTCTTGCTCCCAGGAGATACATGATGGTGCTTTGCTGCATAATCAGAGTGGATCCTGCAGGTCCAAACCTGTAAATGTCTCGGGCCATGCCGAAGTCTCCGATCTTAGCCACTCTGTCTGGTCCGGCGCAGGTAAGCAGGCAATTCCTGGCAGCGATGTCTCTGAAAAAACAAGTGCAGTCAGAAGTTTAACACCAACTCTAGATTACTTGCATTTAATGATTAATTTGAACAGTTTCCTTGCTGGAAAATGGGTGTTTGTGTACTTTACTTTTTAAGATCAAGAAATTAGAATTAATTAATTCCTGAACACAGATTTCCTTCCTTCTAAAACTCAGACAGACTAGTTTCTGGGATAGATTAAGCAGGCTAACACTTAGCTTCAGTTTAAAAGCCAAGTCTTTATTAAGAACTCTTATTTTGACAGGTTCTGATAATGTTTTGCTTAGTTTCGGGAAATCTCAAGATGACAACTAAAGTTAGGAACAGATTTGACTGACTTGAACCAACAAAACTTATATTCGACATGTAATCTCCAAATAATTACATAAAACAGTTTTAAACACAATAGCCACTTAATATTTCTGGCATTTTGAGTAGCATTTTGCTTTTACCCTTAAAAATCCAAAATCAAAGGCATTTTAATGAAAAATATAATGTAGCAAAGCAATTATGTTGCAAATCATCTTTAAAGTTTTGTGGGTCATAAAAAATTTTCATAAATTACAATAAAAAGAGAAATGTTTGATGGATTTGACCCAAGTCATGCAGTTTAAAACGGTTCTAAATGGTACTGACCAAATTTATGCAAACCTTTGAATTCATGGAAAGTCACAAATAAAAATTCTCACTAAAAAATGAAAATTGTTCTCACTAAATTTTATCTAATTTTCTGACTGACCTCAAACAAGAAAAGTTTGGTTTAACTTCAGAGAGAGAAAAAAACAACCTTCATTGGTAGATTATTTCACTTATTTTGTTAAAAGTGAAATAATCTGCCAATGGAAGTAATCATTTTTAATCAATATTGAGGAATTATTGACTTAAAACCGGCTCATATTTCTTGCTGAAATGTTACTTTTAAGTTAGTTTTGTCTTATTTCAAACACTAAAAACTAAACAAAAACTACTTTTTTTGTAAAATTGCTTCTACAAAGAACGATTCAGATGAATCAATAAAAATTAATCAGATATTTAGATAAAAACTTCTGACAAGACTCATTACTCCTCTGCAACCTTCCTCATCCGTCTGTTTTATCAAATTATGATAGAACATGATAATTTTATTGGTTTGAGTTTTCACTCTGACTGATCATGAGTCTGGACCTGTGGATGAACTGGTTCTCCTCCAGGTACCGACAGCCGCAGGCGATGTCTCTGGCCATCTGCAGCAGATCCCGCATGGTGAGAGAAAAGGTCTGGCCCTGGAAACAGCACAGCTCCGATCAGCAGGGGCCAAACGTAAAGATACAAACCATGCAGAGCTGCTGTACCGCTCGCGGCCTGTTCTGCCTCAGGAAGCTTTTCATGTCTCCGCCGGTCATCAGCTCCAGCAGAATGAAGCGAGGCAGGATGTTTAGACTGACGCCGACGCAGCGCACGATGTTCAGGTGGCTGAACTTACTGAGAGGAGAAAAAAGGCGTTTGGTTGAGAAGAGGAAAGTGCGATATAAATGATTTTGCTGTAAAATATAAATTTCTGATGTTAAAAAAATTAGACTAAGATGAAAATTGTGTTTAACATGTAACCTTTACAACCTTTACGAAATCTGTAAAGGGGAAAATATAATATATGTGGATGAGCACACTGAGCTAACTTGTGGTGAGATCAGAATAAATCCCCACATTCAAGCGGCTCCGGTCCGTTTCCCAGGAGTTTGGACCTGCGGACCAAAGGTGTTCAAAAGTACGGAAGAGCATTAGAGCCACTAAAATATAATAACAATAATAAAAAAAGAATTCTGATGTCTGATCTCAGGAGATTAAAGTCAAAATTCAAAAATTTAAATAAGAATTCTGAGAAAATTTTCCCAGAATTTTTTTCGGTCATGTCGGTCACTTTTCATTTGAAAACTATGAGGGCCGTTTATGAGGGGTTTTTGCCAAAAAACTACATACATTTTGAGATTAATCTCAGAATTTTTCTAGAAATAACGTGGAAATGTTGGAAATGTGGAAAGGTTAAAAAGTAAAAAAAAAAAATCTGAGTTTCTTTCTCATGAATTTTTGACTTTTGGAGCTCAGAAATTTCCACTTTTTTTCTTGAAAATTTCTGAGATTAAACTCAAATTTTCTAAGATTTTTTGGTGGAAATCTCTTCCTGTTTTCTATCTACAGTGGCCCTTACATGCTGTCATAGAAAACACTTCCTGTGTTTAGTCGAAGTCTATTAAAGTAATTAAAAGAAGACTTTTGTTAATTTGAGTAAAAGTCATTGGATAGATATGAAATAGTTTTTTTCCCCAATATGTACAAAAATTACAGTATAATGTCAAACTTTTGTTTTACATATTCAAGAGAATGCAAAAACATTTTCACTGCAATAATATTTCAATTTGTAAGGCTTTGTCTTAATTAAAATAAAATCTGTAACTCTGGAAAAGTAAATAATGTCAACGAGTCGGAAAAGAACAGATTCCCTTAATAAAACAGAAAGATGCTTCCATATTATTTCATTTAGCTGAATTTAATAAAATGATGCTAGCTATTGGTCAGATTAAATCAGCGATCTATCATTGTCGTGATTATATTTTACAAGGCCGACTACACTTTGTATTAGAATCATAGTTAGTTGATGATTTCTGGTCATAATATTAATAAGACAGAATCAGTGCACTGTAAAAAGGAGCATTAAGAGGTAGCGGCGCAGTGTGGTACCGTTCTGCTGGGCTCACCTCATAATCAGAGCCTCCATCAGGAAGTCCATTTCGTCCTGCTCGGAGCAGATCTCTGGAAGCGTCTGCAGCCAACAGAATCAGAGCAGCATTATCGCTATTGTCAAAGGAGTCCGGAAAACAGAACCTAATCAGCAGAACGGCTGGCAGAGACCAACCTCCCACTGCTGTGGACCTGAGTGGATATCTTGACAAATATTCACTCAGTTGGTGCACAACTGGGATTTTTTTTTTACACAATTCTTCCTAAAACCTTGTTTTTTTTTGGAGCAGGTCCATGTGGTTTTATGAAAGGTTTATCCTTCGGTTTGAGCTGACCTTTATTGCCACCTGCATGGGGCTGCCGTCGGCGCTCAATCCCAGAATTTGTCCCTCGTAGACTTCACCGAAGGCGCCGTGGCCGAGAGCCCTGAGAAAACAAGACAAAAACTTTTAGAAGAAACTGAAACTAAACATAGACACAGGTGGTACCAGAGTTCCTGCCTTATTTCCTCTGGAGGAAAAAAAAAGGGCCATTTTGAATTTTTTTTTACAATGTATCGTGTGTCTGCCCCACATTTTTGTAATTTTGCCAAACATGACAACAGTTTTACCTTCAATCTGTATTAATTTTAAATTTAGCTTTTTCCCCTTTGGTTGTCATGTCCCCGAAGCCTTTAGTATTTATTATGTGGTACATTTATATCTCTAGGTTTAAGTTAATTGTTCTCATCTGTTTTATTTGAAAAGTCTGTTTTTTAAAGGTAACCTGAACAGATTATGACGGGTCTACAGTCTATACAAAACCTGTTCAGTACAATTTTTTGCACAAAATTATTCTTAGACAATGAGATTTTAATCTGCTCAATTCTGCCTATTTTGTGCTGTTTTATGGTATCTTGTAACTTTAAATCCAAATAAACTGCAGCTACGTTACTAACATTGTACAGTGAAGAAGGAAATTATCACAAATATGAGTTTTTCCTTCCTTTCTTCTGTGTTACTGTTAACATTATTCAGGGTTTCACCCAGAAAACTTGCTAAGCCCGGTGGTACCGAGGCGATCCATTGGTGATCCACCGTGTTTTTATATTAAAAGATGTTATGTTGACAGAAATGTAAAAATATCACTGGGTAATTAGATGTTACGGTAAAATATCTCCAGTGAAACGCTATTTAATCCACTATAGAATCTTAAAAACAACAAATAAAAAAAATACAGTTAAAATTAATGTCAGTTATGTGCACTTCTGTTTAATCCAGATTAAATCAGCAGCTCCACCAGGGCCTCAGGGCCCCATAAATAATATTTTAACACAAACCACAGATACATGAATGCAGCATTTGTTTGTTGAGATTATCAATGTGCTCCGCCAGTGAAACGCTCAGAGCAACAGAGAAGTTTGCAGTCTGGCTTGATTAAGAAGGAAAAAAAAAAATTAAGATTATTTTTTTCATTATTATTTTCTTAAAAAACAAAACAAAACAAGCAACGCTCATCCTGGCGGGCCGCCAGGCTTATAATACACTCGTATTATAAGCCCTGATAAAGTGTCTTAATCCGTACATCACTGCCCACTTAATAATAAATAAGCTTTCTAAGAGTATATATTAATATTACTAAGTATATATATATATATATATATATATATATATATATATATATATATATATATATATATATATATATATTTTCATTTTTTTTTTGTTTTCTTGCAGTGACATTAAGTCAGTTGTCCAGAAGTAACGGTCAAATTTCCCACTTGAGCACCTGTCGCCTAAACGTCTGTGTGTGGATCAGAACCTGAGCAGGGTGATGTTCTTGCGTGGAACCTCCTTCAGGTCGCTGAGCGACGCGGCCTTGCCTGCGAAGCAGTAGTTGGGGTTGTAGTCGGTCATGATGGTGGAGGAGCGGATCTTGCTCAGCTTGTACTCTGGGCTCTGCAGACGCCGTCGTACTGCGTGCAGGTCGTTCTTCCTGCGGTACCACACTGCAGACAGAAGCAGAACCAGACGTTAAACGGTGTTACTTTTACTTTGGAGCTTTTAGAAAAGTCCAAACCTGGACTTTCTCAGGGAGCCCAGAGCTGCAGAGGCAGCCTCTGATCTGCCCGGGTAGGAGCGTTAACGCAAGGAGACACCAAGCCACGTCGTAGAGTCACAGCAGGGCATCAAGCCAATTTAACATCAAGGACACTGCAAAAACACAAAATGCTGCCAAGTTTTGTTGTTTAGATTTTAGTGCAAATGTCTTATTTACACTTGAAATAAAAGCAAAACTAACTTACAAGTAACTTTTCAGCAAGACATAGGAGCTTTTTAAGTTAGATTAGTTCAGGAGTGTCAAAAAAACTAATTTCTGTTTTGGGCCAAATCAAGATCATGAATGCTCTTAAAGGGCCGGTGGTGCCAGAATGTATTGATAAAACCTGTCCACAAACTGATAAAATATAAATGATTTCTTAAAATTAAATATTATTATTGAACATCTTTTCAGTCCCTCCAGGATTTCGTGATTCTTTTTGTGATTTTTTGTAATAAAAATCAAAGTGTTGTGGTACTAATTTGGAAATATTTGCAATATTTGCGCTTATTTATGATGGTGAATGTGACTTTTTATCATCTACTGTGTAGATCATGGACTATAATCTGAGGATGAGGCTGAGGCAGTTGTTTAGTACAAGTAATGTTTTTGACAATTTTTGAGAAAAATCTGCAATAAATTTCCAATGATGTATTAGCGCTAAAAAGTGCGGGGATTTGGTGATTTTGTGTGACTTTCTACGATAATTCACAAGAAACTGGAGGGACTGATTGATATAGCTTCGCAGTAAACAGATAAAAACTAAAATTTAAATACACTTTTTGTTTAGAGGGCCATATAAAGCAACGGCAGGCCAGATTTGGCCCACAGGCCTCGAGTTTGACACATGGTTTAGATATTTCTGCTAGAATAAACCAAATATTTTGTTAATATTTTGTGTTTTTGCAGTGTAGGGAGCATTAGAGCTGCTGATGTGGGATGGTTTCTCCTCGGTTAGCGCTTCTAGTCGCCCTTGTCCCTGTGAGGTTGGACTCACCCGCCGTGGAGGGGCAGCCCACGTCCCCGATGCAGGTGGGTAGTCTGCCAGGGAGGGGGAGTGGCGTGCGGGGAAGGACGAGCCGTCGAGCCATCGCCCGGTGCAGATGCTGGGGACTCGGGAGGAGGGTGGAGGTAAGGACGGGCAGGAGGTGAAATGAGGAGGAAAAGGCAGGACGGGAGGAAGAGGAGGAGGAGGAGGAAGAGGAGGAGGAGGAGCACCCAGGGCACAGACTACCTCCCTGCATGGGGGAGAGCTCAGGTGGAGAGACACCATTAAGCTGAAGGGAACGTGAGGATTTCATGCTGCTTTTAACAGTCACCGATTCACAAAACAGCTCAAAACTTTAAAGAAATATCTGTCATTTATTCTCTGCTTTAATTACTTACAGGCGCACAGATTTACCCACAATGCAGCTGGTTAAAAACATCACTCAGACACTCAGTTTTCTCTCAAACACCTCTTTCTTCAACCCATTTTTTATTTTAATTCCCAATTGTTCCAGTTTTAACTGAACAAAATGAAGGATGAGTTTCTTTTTATTCATAACATGATTTTTCTAAACTGATTGGACTAATTTTAAAAAAGACCTTGCTCTGGTAATTCTCAGTTTGCTGTGTTACAAACGCAAACTTCCGCGTATTTTACAGAGAATTTTGTTGTGCATTATGTTTTTTTCTTTTTTTTGCAAAATAAAAACAGAAAAATGTGATGTGCTTTGCCCCTCAAGCCAGTTTTAATCCTTTAACATCTGCAAGTTGTTATGTTAAACTCCACTAAAAATATATATTATCTGGATTAAATCTCACTGTTTTGCTTTGCGACGTACATGCAGTATTTAATCTGTTGTGTTTATTTGATTTAAATGTAACTTTTCTTATAAGATTTTATGTGAACACTGCAAAAATACAAAATCTTAAAATCTTGAAGTAGAGCTACTCTTACTTGAGTACAATGTTGGGCTACAAGCAACTTTAATAAGATGTAGGAACTTCTTTAAGTTAATAATTCCTATTAAAAATTACGGTTATATGTGAAAATAATCTGCTAGCAGAACAAGACATTTTAACTTATTATATAGGAAAAATATATAGTTTCATTGACAGATTATTTCACTTATAACAAGTACTTTTTGAATCAATTTTAAGGAATTGCTGACATAAACTAAGCTTAAATATCTTGCTGAAAAGTTACTTGTAAGTTAGTTTTCCTTTATTTCAAGTGCACTGAAGTATTCTAGATCAGAAATACTTTGTGTTTTTGCAGTGTAGGCTGTAAGTTTAAGTAAAACAGACCGAAAGACGTTTCCCCAGCAGAGCTGCTTAAAATTCACCCAGGTTGTTAGTAGAGAACCTGCTTTTCATGCAACCTGAAAATTACTCCTCTGAGAATCAGACGAGTCAAACTTCAGGCTCTGCCTTCCCAGTTTCATGTTGCAGCTGTCAGAAAGTTGGTCTTATTTTCCCAATAATCCCTCACTGTCCTATTTTACTGCACATGCAGTTCTGTGCACAGCTGAATCTGCACTTAATAAAGGTTTCTACTGCGTAGCGGCTTGTGAAATCAGTTCAGAGTCTTCAGGTCCGTGTCATGATGAATATTCACAGTGCTATGCAAATGTATTCAGGTCCTTTGAGCTTTGGCACATTTTGCTACAATCCAGCTGTAAAAATAATCATATTTTGAATGGATTTTGTGTGATAGATCAACACAAAGTAATGTATAATTATAAGGTGAAAGAAAAACAGTCTTTTATAAATAAAAACCTGGGAAGCATGTCATGCATTTCAATTTTTAAGAACCACCTTTTGCTTCAGTTTTGACAGGTTTTGCTTTTTCATCCACATGATTTTCTCATTTTTCTTTGGAAAAGCTCAGATTGGATGGAGAATGTCTATAAACTTTTTATTTCTGGGGTTTGACTAGGACATATCCTGATGCATGTTTCGGGTTGTTGTCCTGTTAGAACAGGAGTGTGCAACTTGTACACTCTAAGTAATCATTTTTACTTCCAGGTCGGCCAAATAAAACTCGTTTAGAGCCGCAAAGGTCAAAACTTAGGAAAGAAAAAAAAAGACAACTTACAGCTCTTAAAATGTATCTACTATCTAAAATGTGTTATTTTTAAAGATATATCACTTTTTCAGATTTTTATGATTTAAAATAAAGAAAAACAGAAAATTTAGCTAAAACAGGATGGATCTTATTTTACTGCAGGACAGAAAAGTACAAGAAGAACAGATGTAAAAGGAAATTCAATGTAACTTCTGAGTTAGTTTCGTCTTAGAGTGTTAAGCAGAATTATTTTGTAATATTTTGTGTTTTTGCAGTGTATGATGCTGGATATGGATGCATCTCATATTTTTTGGACTTCATGCACTTCCATTTGTTGGCTTAATCACATAAAATCCCCCCAAAATCAAATTTCTGGTTGTAATATGAAAAAGTTCAAAATACAGGAAAATATTTGCAGATTTATGTTATGAAAAACACAATTTTATGCAATTTTTGAATACATTCTACTGCCTAACTGGACCGGATATAACCTCCAACATAAAAATATATACTTTAAATATTCTGGCACTCCCTCTCCTAAATCCTACATCACAATGTGCAATTAGTGCTGTTCTGTATGGCATTTGCAGGTTTCAGTTTCGTTCTCCTTGTCCCAAAACAAGTGAGAGGTCAGCCATGACTCTTTGGTTTTAATCTTTACGTTCTGATAATCATGATTATTTCCTCCACTGAATCATGGGGGATGACATTTGCTGCTGTTTATTTTCAGGTTGTACGTAACCAGGAAACGGTTTGCAGTTAAATGTCAAAGCTTTCTGCTCTAAAGACATTTATAGCATGTCATGCTTTCATCAGAACAATCGCTAAACTACAGGCACTAAATAAGACTTTGGTTTCTAATCACCACCCTTTAATCTGCCGTTTCCTCCTCCGTTCTCTTTGGATTGTATTTACATTGAGTCGACATAAAAGAGAGCATCAGCAGACTGACATGCTGTAATAAAAAGGTTCAGACTGTTGGCAACCTTTAACTCAGAGCAAATGCTTTCCGCTCCTTTAATCCTCTGGCCGCTGAAAGGGTTATTTTCAAAGTTTCTCAGCCCTTCCAGTGGTTAGTAGAGTCTGAAAGCTCAGGCGCTCACAGCCGGTGGAAGGAGGAGGGAACCGACTGAACGCAGAGCTGCAGGAGTCTCTTACTGAGGATGACGCTGGCGCAGACCAAAGCGACGCCGCTGACGACGATGGAGGCGACGACGGCCAGGATCAGCGACATGGGCAGCTGCCCTAAAATAGAAAGGTTTGGTTTGTCAGTTTGTAGGTTTATTTTGAGCCAAACTCAATAAAAAGTAACAAGTAAAATATATATGCACACAGTTACTTGCTTAAAAGTTACTTGTCTGTTAGTTTTGTCTTATTTTAAGTGTACTAAGATGTTTGCAGTAGAAACCAGATAACTTTTTGAGTGTGTGCTTGTGGCGTAAAAACTGACCTGCCGCACTAACACACGTTACGTTGTCGCTGGCCAGGATTTCATCGTCGTCGCAGAGACAGATGACGAGGTGAGTGTCCTCTTCCCGTTTGCAGCTCTGCGTCCGACAATGGCTGCAGTTCAGCTCCACCTTGATCTCACACTCACCGTGACCCTCCATGGCTGTAAGGAGCAAAAACGGCACGGATTAAACACCTGAGCAAAAACGGCACAGATTAAATACCTGAGCAAAAACGGCACAGATTAAATACCTGAACAAAAACGGCACAGATTAAATACCTGAGCAAAAACGGCACAGATTAAATACCTGATGAAAAACGGCACAGATTAAATACCTGATGAAAAAACAGCACAGATAAAACACCTGCTTGTATTTGGAACGATGAATAAACAACCTGAAGCAGTCCGGACGACGGAGTATTAAGGTTGGGATAAGAAAAATAAAACGAAAATATGAGAATAAAGTCAGGATATTACCAGAATAAAGTTGTAACATTTTGAGAATGCTGGCATATCGTACAACTGTGGTAAAATGAGGAATGTTGAGCATCTTGTGAAGTTATACTTTGGTATTTGTTTTACAAATAAGTAAATACATAATCTGTAAACACAACAGATTATGTATTTACTGATGTGTCTACTACAACTTTATTCTGGCAATATCACATAATTATTCTTAATATATTATAACTTTATTCTCTTATTATTTTGACTTTATTCTCGTATTATTTCTACAACTTTATTCTGGTAATATTACGATTATTCTCAAAATATTATGAATTTATTCTTGAAATATTGACTTTGTTCTCATATTATTCCGACTTTATTTTCGTAATTTTACAACATAATTTTATGTATTTTATCTATTTTCCTTAGCCTGGCCCTAACAGTCCATCGTACAAACCAGACCTGAAGCAAAACAAAAGCAGTTTGAAGAAACTTTGCTGCGTTTTGACAAACTGTGACATTATGAGCTAAACTGGGTGAAAGTGAGTGGAAACCAGGGATAAAGATGGATGTTAGTGTGTTTAATCTTAACTGCCTTGGACAGGAAAACTGCTGCTGAAGTCTGATTTAAAGGCGGACCGAGAGAAACCGTGTTCCTGTTTCTCCAGAATATGCTTGGTGGTTTCAGCTGCATGTTGTTTTCATTGTTTCCTTTCTGGTTTTCCATTTTTATCTCAGATGTTGCTCGTTTCTCCGATTGTTTCCTTAACATGATGACAGACGCTCTGAGGTCCAGTGGTTTGGAGTTCCTGCATGAGGTTTTTCCACTCCACAGTCGGCTCAAAAATGAAAACAGTCCAAAAAAACAAAAACAAGATAAATAAACGAGTGGTGAACATGGTTTGTGGGAGCTGCAGCGATCAGGTTGCAGAACATCTGAAAACACTTAAAAACCGCCATGACAGCCTGGTTCAAACAGGGAACAACAGTTATTATGTACAAGGATATCAAACAGCTTAAATAACAATCTATTTAGTTTTCTTATCCATTAAAAAATTAACCATTTCAATATGTAAATTGTAGCATTCATAACTTTGCTGTTACTTTTGGATTGTTGTTGTTTTTTTTATATTTTCTTAGCAAATATTTACAAAATTCTTGAGAAAATCATTTTTGACTCACTTTAAACATAATTATGTGCACATAAAATAAAGATTATACTTTAATCTGAAGAATATGTTGAAATCTTACTGCTTAATTTGGGATTACATTTATTTAATTTGAAATGATTTGATATTTTATTTTACTGACTGGTTTAAATATAATAATATAGTTGTGTTGTCATAAAAAACACATATTATTATGTTTATATGGTGACATATTAATGACTAATATTTTTTAGCTCTTTTATACATGAATTTATCAGTGAATTTATTTTTTGTAAGCTATACACTGTAAAAAAAAGTCTGTAATCTACTGTAAAAAATTGGCAAATACGGTAAAATCTGTATAAATAGGTAAAATTCTGGTGGTCACAGATGCAGGTATTTTACCGTAGATTAGAGACTTTTTTTCTTTTTTTAACCAGTGTTCTCACTTATTTTAGTGTTTTTGGCATCTTCATTTAGCATCTTGCGGTCTGCTTTTGGGGTAAATTTGTCTTCAGGGTCTTGCAGGGGCATGTTTGTGATTTTTAAAAAATATTTTCTACTCCTAGACTATTTTCTGCACAGTTATAAGCTGCAGCAATCTCCTTTCTGAAGGCTTCAATCAGCTCTTTTATTCTCCACATGGCGAACTCAACTGTGTTTGTCTTAAAATGTTAAAATTTAAGACACCCTTTGATTACAACTGCATCTTTTTAAGTCTTATTTTGTATCTAGTCTTATTATCTATTTTAATTTTATGTCTGTTTTTATGTTAAATTATGTAAGGTGATGTTGAATGTCGAGAAAGGCGCCTACAAATAAAACATATTGTTTATTGTTATTATTTAAATGTTTTTGTTCTCTAATTTTACATACGTCTGTTTGTTAGTAATGCTTTTTGTATGCACTAATCTGTAAATTAATAATAGTAATGATTTTAAAAATTTTAATCAAATATCCATGTGTCCATTTGTTTGATAAAATAAACAAAATTTACAGAGTTTCTGAATATATTTCACCTCCTGCTGAACTTTATAACTAGTCATTTCTTTAAAAATCAATTTCCTCTGAAGGTTAAACTATTAATTGTTTGCGTTGCCTTTATTTGCCATTCAGCCCCAGTGACATGCATTCATAGCCATTTTAAATCTAAAATTACAACAACACAGAGCTTCATTGTTTCTCCACCAACAGAGGGGAATATCAGCTTGTGTCTTGTGTCGTATAATAAACTTCACCCTAAATTACAGATAAGAGGACAACTGAAGCACATGACAGATAAACATATTGGCTTTCAAATTGAATTATCATGATAACGACCCGCTTTTTTTCATAGCAGGCGTTTTATGTTGCTGATCCAGTCGTTGTGTTTGGGAGCAGCGCTCAGCAGAACAATAACGTCTTTCAGGGGAGGAAGGACGTCTGTCTGTCTGCCGGCGCCGGGGGCAACCGGCTGCACGAGGCCGCGAATTAGCCGACTGCTTTCCTGTTCCTCAGCCGGACTTAATGAGAATCAGATGGCCGCCGATCTCAACATAAACAACGGAGAACGCCATACATCCAGGCTGCTGCGCGCTTCAGAGTTTACTGACCAAATGAGTTTAGTTTTACAGGAAAATCTTCTGGAAGGATAAACTTCATATGCAAAGTTTATTTTCACATGTTGGGACATACAGTGTAAAACATTTGAGCTGCATTTAGTTGTGTCTGCCATCTTCTACTCTTTAAGTTAAATAAATTTTGTGAGTTTTAGGTTTTGAACCTAAATGGACACAGAAGAACAGGCACACAAACACTGCAAAAACACAAAATCTTACCAAGTACTTTTGGTTTAATTTGGTTCCGATGTTACAGAAGGGATCAAAGTTGGCTCAGATAATTAGATTTGTCTTTCTTTTTCTAGTCTTACCCCTTTTAAACAAACTTTAAGTGCTATAACTCCTTATTCTAGGCTCTAAAACGCCTTGAACTTCTTATTAACTAATAAACTGTTGATTAAAATTAAAGTTTATTCAGTTTACATGATAACTTTTTAATTTTATCCCTCAAATATCATGTTTAAGCTGCACACTGCAAAAACACAAAACCTTACCAAAACATCTGTCTACACTGTAAAACATTTGAGCCGCATTTAGTTGTGTCTACTATCTTCTACTCTTTAAGTCAAATACATTTAGCAAGTTTTAGATTTTTAACCAAAACGTGAAAGATAAACTTACAGCAGTAAGTTGTTTTAACTTTTTATTAATTTTAGTCGAATAAACTAGAGATTTTAGGTTAGCACTTAAAAAACTGACAGAAGAAAAAGACAGGAGTTGGAACTATTTCCCAGGATGCTTAGCGGCATTGAATACTAAATAAAAATTTATTTTAACAAGACATTTTTCTTGTTTTAAGTGAAAAAATCTGCCAGTGGAACTAGTTTTTTATTTCAAGAATTATTGACTGAAAACACATTTTTATATCTCTCTGGACAGTCATGAACATTTTTTATTATCTCGCAGCATTTCTGACTGAGCTGCTCTGCAGCTCTGCACTTATTGGGGAACGTTGGCATAGTTACAGCTGTAATCACAGAAGCTACGGTCGTCCGCAGTGCCACACAATTTTTATTTAATTTACCCGCTGTGACATTCTTTAACCTGCTGCCTTTTATGCCAGCTTTGCCTCTGTTTCCACTTATTAATATTTGCAATCTAAGTGTTTTCAGGAAACTTCGGTGAATAAGTGCACTTAACGTCAACTTATCGCTGCAAGGTGTCGTTAATATTTAGATATGCATCGACTTTAGTGCTTTTTATGATTCCGACTCTTCAGTTTCGCTTTAAGACAGACAAAAAGAACATAATAGAGAAATAAAACAGAAGGCACACTAATTATTGTAATTCTTAGACAGTTGCAGGATGTCAGTTTGAGTCTCACCTGCCAGAGGTTGTAAGAAAATCTCTCCCATCGGATGAATGAAGGAAACGCCGTTCTGGCCGTCGGCGGTGATTTCATCTGTCAGCGCAGCGTCGCCTCCTGTGAAGAAGAAAGTTCAGACAATGTGAGGCTGTTAGATTTAAAATGTCAGTCCAGAAGGTTCAAATCTCCTCACAAAGCTGTCATAATAATTAAACGTCCGGCTTCCATTTCACAACCCGCTTTTGTTTTTGTAATTGTCCCTCTGAGTCTCATTTACTTACAACCACAAACATTTTCACCCTTGACCTCTTGGCACATGAATCATTCAGAGTTTCAGTTTCTCTGCTTCCATCTGTTTTATTGCTTTGATGAATTTTTTTGCACTCCTTAAACTTTTCCACGTTTTATGACGATGCAGTCAGTGCTTCTATGGCCAATACAAAACATGTTCAATACATTTTTTGATCAAAATCCTTCTAAGATAACAAGATTTCTATCTTCTCCGTTCTGCATTTTGAGCTGCTTTAGCGCATCTTGTTGCTTTAAATTCAATTAAGATGTAGCTGACCACACCCCCCCCAAAATCAACATTTACACTTTTATATGAAAATGGCTCCAAACAGATGCGCTATTATACAATTGTACATCTTTGAAAAGCATTAGTAGAGCCTCCTGCACAACCAACAAAAACGCAGCAAGTGGTTTCTGGATGGTAAGTCAACAACAAAACACTTCTCTTTTCCAGCAGCCATTGTACAGCGTATACAGAAACCAGCTGACTAAACAAGCTGGTGCTCAGGTTGGGTTGCTAGGTAGCAGGCGGAACTCTGATGAGGTTGCTAGGTAACAACAACAATTGGGAGGTTTTTGGAATGACTCATTTTTCAGACACCAAAAGCCATTCACTGCTTGCCAAAAAATGGCTGGGTGTTTTTTTGTTTTGTTTTTTTGGTTGTTTTTTAGGGATTTGGGATGTTTTTATTCATCCGGATGAAAAACAGACAAAACAAACAAAAAAAACAACTCAAATAGAGGTTCTGCTCACCTCTGTATCCGCCGCCGCCGCCTCCTGCTGTGCAGGCTCCTCCTCCTCCTCCAAACCCACCATATGTTGACCAGCTGAGCTTTGACAGAGCCAGCGGACAGGAAGTCCCGCCCACTGCTCCTTCCACCAGTGATCTGCCGGCGCTCTGATGAAGACTGGGGGTGTCCTTCCAACCACCTCCTCCACCTTTCAGGAAACAAAAACCCCTCATGACTCAACAAGTATACCCAAAACACTTACTCAAGTAAGAGTAGCAGTACTTCAACATATTTTTACTCAAGTAAACAAAAGTAAAAAGTAGCCAAGGGTAAAAGAGAAATTCAGGTACCAAATAACTAATCAAAACATGTCAATTAATGTTTAAAGATTACATCAAACAAAGCAAAATGTGTGAAAATGTTTGTATTTTAGAGAAAATAATTTATATAAATAACAGCTATGAAATCAATTTTCAAAATCAGTTTCTTTCAATACAAAACTTATGAAACTTTAACAGAAACTGCAGGTGTGTCTGGTGAATTTTTGTTTAAAATATATTTATTAATTCAGTGAAGTTCCTCACAGTAACTGAACTCAAGTAAGTGAAGCGATAAATCATGGTAAAATTACTCAAGAATAAAAAGTAGCAAATACATTTTTTACATTTTCATACTTTATCAAACAACAAAAATCTAATATTCAAAAGTTAGATTTTTAAATATCTATTTTAAAAAATCTACAAAATAAACAACTAGAGTGCAGTAATATTAAGAAATATCCACTAGGTTAGGCACAAAAAAATGTTTCCCCTTTTGTTTTCTGCTAACTACCAGTTTACATCAAGCAAACAAGTTATTTAAATTACTGAAGTGGATTGAAACTGTTTTGTTTGATAAAACCCTGGAAGGGAAGATTGGAATCAAAAGAAAAAACAGCAGGAAAATAATTTATGGGGTCATAAACTTCAGAACATGTCAAAAATCAGCAGAGCCTGTAGCAATATTTAATAATTTAGGCTGTAGCATTCAGTCATGCATGATGCAATGACAGCCCAGGATAATGAGACCAAACAGCTGCACAGCCTTGAGAAAAGCTCACAACATCAAAACGAACTGACAAAGTTCAGAGATTGAAATAGAAATTTTTGATATTGTGCTGAAACGAAATGTAGGAAGGAAGTGGTTGGTCTCTTCTTTGTTCAATATTAGATCCTGGTTGTTTACATTTCAGGTGATCAGAAACACTCAGAATAAACGCAGTAAATGGTTGGTTTTGACCCAATGCAGGTTTGTTATGACTGCGGTTTTTTCCCCTTTTTTTTGTTTTTCATAACATTAAATGCTATTAAAGGTATAAAACTCAGATTTATTGGCGGCCTACCTGCTGCTCCAGTCTGACCGTTGGTGCCGCGGGCCGCGGTGCTGTTCTCAAACTGCTCTGGAGGCATCTGGTCCAGACTGGACTCCGGGTCCTCCAGGTAGGCGTTTCCTCCCCCACCAGCTGCAATCAGCAAAGGAACCAGCTCACCACCCTCCATCTGGAACAACAAACCGGTAAGTCTACACCTATTCTGCACTGAAAAACATTTCAAGGTGGTTTAACTTGGAAACGAAAGTCCACCTGCTGCCTGGAAAATAACAATAATAAGTCAACAAGAAAATTGTTTTGGTTTTAACTCAGAAATTAAAGTTCATGAAGTTGATTTAACAACAAGAAACAAGTTGTCTAAACGTTGATTTTTAAGTTCATTAATCTTGATTTGTGAGTTTTAACTTAAAACTAATAATTATTTCACAATATGCAAGAAAAAACTGCCAGTTAAAGAGCCACATTTCTCCATTGTTTTCAATCACAATATCAAGTTAAAATAACAACTTGTTACTTTAGAATAATTTAAATTCTTGTTTCAAATTGCAGTAA